AGGTCATAGTTTGTAAGAACAACAGTCCTAACGCCCACCTGGCGCCTTTGTTGTTATTACTGTTCTGACAACATGAAGAATGAAAGATAACGAACAATATTAATCACATATACCATGGGCCCGTGGCCTGCTTAAATGGTCCCTTAGGCGACTAGAAGCAAGGAGACGGTGCTTACGCTCAATTTGGAATCAAAAATTGAAAGTGATCATATATCTTAACGGCGGTATCGATAACTAGCAGTATGCCAGTAAACCCATAACATGGGTTTTATTTTTTTGCATAAATATTAAATTCAATCCAGTATTAAAAAGTGAAAAGGAGTATAAATCCTATTCCTGAAGTTTTCCCCTAGCGACATAACTATAACCTTGGGGCAAAAGTGACTCATTCTGAAGTTTAGCATCATTGATTGTTTGAGCGTTTTAAATTAAAGCTTCCTTTTCACTGCCAGTGCTGTGGCATGGGTTAGAATTAAACGAATATATAGTTTTAAAGTTCCGGTGGGTCGTCACGAGTCGATGATTAATACACAGCTTTAGAGGAGAAAACTTCTAAACAGTGTTTTTGACTTATGACAATAGGCATTTCAGCTGATTAGAGAACCGATATGGTTAAATTGAAACATTGAATCTATCGTCCGTCTTTTTCAGGGATCGGAGCAGATCTTGATCCTAGGCACTGTATCAGAAGTCGTTGAGAAAACAAAAGCCAAAAACTTTGAATGAATGGAAAGGTAGCAAAACTTGCAGCCCTTTGAGTATTGGTCTCGAAATACAATAATTATGGGCGCTATTTTTAGGTACGTTTCTCCCAATGTTGGTGCCGATCTGATTTCGACACAATAAGTAACGATTGTGTTAGCTTTACCGAATTATCTGTAGATAAATGGCCATTACAGACGTTTGATGCCCCAGTTGCTTGAGATGTAGTGATAATCATTAAGCGTGCAAAGATTCAGGCACATACTCTACCCAACTGACTTAGATATGGAAGTATATTAGAGACTCTATATGAAGACTCTGACTCCTGGCTTTGGATCTCGTCTTCTGATTTGCTCGTTTGCATGAAAAGACGCGTTTTACGTGCCTATTTGTTTTTCATTCCATTATACTCTACATTTTCAGGATGGCCATTTCAATTCTAGGTTCATCGATGTTTGCATATCCCGGTTCTTTGAGAGGAGGGGTTTGATAATAGCCAAGGAAAGAAGCGTAGTCTCACGCAGAAATAGGATCAGTTAGTGAATCAGTAGTTCAGGCTTCAAACAGATAATGACAAATTAATGATGCAGCTACAAAACGCTATTGATCTAATTCATGCAGGCATAAAACAGTTGAGGAGAACAAGACGACGGAAAGGTGGTATTTTGGAGTTGGACCTCAAACCTCAACCCTGTGGCTTGCTTTGCTTCATCGTTCTTTGTTCCGTTACACGAAACGGTGGCGAAAGCAGTAGTCGTCAAAAGTGCGCAAGTGTCGAAGGTCGATGGATACCGGCATCTGCGATGTTGACGTTGGCCATCGACCGTCAAAACGGAAGACCGAGGACAGCGGCGTGTTAATTAATTGGCACAAACAGCGACAGCTCGCCAATGACTGCGCGAAACGCGATACGACCGGTCCATGCGGCACTACTGGGGTTTGGCACCACACTCGCCGGATGCGAGGGTCTGAAACACAGCGGTCCGTCGAACGAGCGAACCTCGCCTTGGGTCGTTGATGTAGCTGTCGTCGGAATGCGAGGTGCCTTTGATGAAGACCGGCCACTAGCCAGCAGTCGCGGACAGAGGTGCGGACAGAAGTGCGCCTCGAGGATTTGAACACGCAACGGAGTTGTGTAACTCACCGATTACCTCACGAGGGGTGGTGGGAAGAAGAAAGCCGACTGTGAAACAGGCAACTTCATCGACGGTCATGTAGATTGTCCGCTAAACGCTAAACGGTCGGTCGCTGAACGCCGCCAGATTCGTTCAAAGAAATGAACAGAAAAACCTCATCTCCCTTGACGAGTCTCAAACAAAAATGGACACGAAAAGATACAGAAAACTAAACTGACTATTTGCAAAGGCCAAGCTACTAAACAACAATTACGATAATAATTTAAGCGACTTTGTGAACATCGGTGGGCATTGTGCCCTCGCATTCAAAAAAGTCTTTTTATCAAAAAACTCAACAAGTGTCTCACAAACGAAACTAGGTGTAAAAAGGTCATCGTTTTTTAATGCAAAAAATGAAACTAGTTGACGCAGATGTCAGGTGTCAGAAACGTCCACAGCAAACAGCTGGAAGCAGAAATGATATAGAGCTGTGAAAATTTTCGACAGCTGAGCGTTATGTTTAATTTGTTTGGCCATGACTAAGGTTCCTCTGCAGGAAGAGCGCTGAACTCAGAACTGAGAGCTCAGGGGTCGAGCCACAGTCGGCTAGCTCCCCTTTATTCCTTCTGAGGCTGATAAACAAGTACCCCTCTGTGGGAAGCAAACAAGAGATCACACACGATGATTGCCACATATCTGTAGTCGACTCTGACTTTAATATAAAGCACTTCTAGTTGATAGCATGGAAATTGAGATCAGCGCCTTAGCCTTAACTTCATGGAAAGAAGGGTGCCAGAAATGACCCAGTCATGCGAGTGTAAGGAAGACCGACATTCCAGCGGTTACTGGCTTTGTCCTTTCCTCACATTCTTTTAATTTCACCTGAAAGCAACAGGAACACGGAAAACGGATTGTTTACCATGACCTATTATAAATAATACAACATTAAATATCATATCTTATTAATTATGAATTAATTAAATACGTTAGAAGGACATATTGCATTGACGTTTCAAGTCAAGTTTCAAACGCAGTAAATGTTGCTATCAGCGTAAGCGGATCCTTTCCAAACACTGTCAAATAATAATGCAAGTAGTTGATTACTCCTCCAAGACCAGATTTCACCGTGTATTGCACCGCCCAGTGGCTTCTAATTGCCAAAAGTGGGGGTATTTAGGTAGACCACGGATCTATCATATTTGAGCATACACAAACCTGTGAACTCTGGTCTTGGAGGAATCATTCTTTATTTTACATACTACTGAATCATCGTGATGAGAGCCAGGTGGCTCTAACGGACACCTGACATTTTGCTTTGCATGATTGGCTTAATCGGCAATATTCCATAACCGTTTGAAAAAAA